TTTTTTCCTTCTTAGGTAAACGGAACAAGGTGGTTATAACCGTCGCTGGTTCTGAGAAAGTCATTCCAAGCTCCTTGCGTTTGGACCTTATTACCCCTGAAGGAACAAAGATCAGCGACGTCACACTACAGACAGCTGACAGGGTCCATTTCACCTCAAGTTTCACGCCTCGTGTTAGTCAGCCGTTCAAATTCAAGCTCAGAGGTACCACTCGTGGCGGGAACGCGTTTGAGAGGATTTCACACCAGACGATCAAACCCACGACTGTCGTGCTAAGGGGAAAGTATGCCAGCAATGATTATACCCTCCCTCTAGGAAGAGTCACCTTTGTTCATTTTCAACTGTGTAATTTTGGTGAAAGTGAACATTTTGACGTGACAGTCGTGAAAGACAAGATGGGGTACATGCTCTCTCAGAGTGTCAGGTCAAGGCGGGTAATAAAGGGCCGTTGCACTACACTTTCCGTTCGTGCCAAAGCCACACGTTCTACAGATGTGGACAAAACAGATACCGTGTTTTTAATCGCGAAGGGTCGAAAATCTAAAGTTGTAGCTTCACAAGCGGTGCGTCTGTTCGTTGTTTCTTAAGTTCATCGGAGTCGGGCGTTAGTTTTTTCAGCGCATGAATGAGATAGCAAATGTAAACAGAGAAAACAATCTAGAATAGAAGTAAGAAAGTTTGGTTATCTGTGTGATTTTCTATCTGCGTTTCTTCATCTCGGATTATCAATTTTCAGTACTACGCTTGTAACTATTATATTTTTATCAAAAATCAAATAATTTTTTCCTCATTACGATTTATGTTACCGTAAGAATGTTTTTCACTGGCCGAGTCGGTTGGTGATTGAATAAAACATAAGACGAACATACACGAAAGCGCAAAACGAAACCAAACTGCCTTTCTCGAGTTCCCCACCCTCTTTCACCTTGAAAAAAGATTAGCTGGGATCGTCGTATTGATCAAAGACCTAAAGGCTGTCTTGCTGACCGGTTGTCCAGGAAAAAGGCATTCATGATTCAATCCAATTCTTCCTTCTAATGTAGAAATTACTGAGATTCATCCACCTACTATCACTAAGACCGTGCTCTCCGAGTCCTTTATTTTGTATATTTTTTTTTTGTTGTTTATCAAAAGCAAATTGAAATTTAAAAAAAATTCTGCATAGCACGTGCAAAACTCATATTCTGCCCTTTAATTAGCCTTTTTGTTTGGCGACGTCTTTGCACGTTGTCGGCTCAAAGATGGCAAGGACCTTAAGCAAACCACGACGGCGACGGCAACGAGGACATGGAAAAACAAAAGATCTAATTGGCAGAACAATAGCTCAACACAACGTTGTACATTTCTAAGCCGTCCCAGGCAAAACAACAACGTGAAATCACCACAATTTGCGTTGTCTGCAGACCGAAACCGCGACGGCAAATTATTTTCATTTTCATTTGGAACTCAACGCTTCTTGTATACGCTATGCTGAAGTTGAGGTGTGGCGCCGTATGAGACAGTAAACACATGAAGCCATTTTTGAAATTCTAATTAAAGGCAGAAATTCATTTTTTAATCGATGCCGTCCTGACTGCTTAAGGTCCCTGTTATCTTGTACAGAGCTCGCACACCGACAACGAAAGGTAAATTTTTTTTTGACATTTACTAACTTTCCATCATTGGTGGAAGCAAAGACAGGCTGCAGACCTATTCAAATACTGACTCACCTTACGAAGCCCGATACGACGTTGTTATCCTGTACAACGGTACTTTGGTCATACTTGAAAATGCCACGCTAAGTTCTCCGCCCAGGTCAGTGACTCCCACGATCTCATAAGTAATTTTCCTTATTGTCTGACATGTAGTTCTTTTGATGTTAGTTTGGAGAATTTTGTATGGGATCAACTAAAAATCCCCAGTAATATTTTTTTTTACTCTCATCACTTGTCTGCTTGTATTGATATTGTAAGGAAAAATTCTGTGTTGGGAAAGCCATACCAAGAGGTATGGAAGAGGTATTCGGTTTGGCTGAGGGCGCTGGTCCTTGGGAGGGTAGAGTTGAGTTTCTTTGTTGCGTATACTGCTGTTTATGATTCCTATCTTTGATGATCAAATTATCCCTTGACAACTTGTTTTTAAATACTACAGAAAATTAAGAAGAGATTTCTTTTATGGGTTGATTAGATTTGATTATCATTGCCTACACATTCAGAATTAGAGAGCTCAAAGTTTACCCAGCCCTATTTTAAGTTTTAAAATACTGAAGACTTTATGCCGAAAGAGCTAAATGTTTAAACACTTACATTGTGGTTATTTCCTTGTGTTTAGTCCGTCAGGACGTCTGATGGTTTTTGTTCCCTTAGATGCCCAGACTGTCAAAAGGAGTATATTTTTTATACCATAAGCTGAACTTTCTTTAACATGATTAACTCTGATTATTTCATTGAACAGGACTGGGATAATTAACACTGTAATATAATAACATCCGGGAAAATGTATTAAGATTTGCTACCAAAAGTTTTCAATGCCAAGGTTCTTTTGGTTATTTTTCACATTCTCGTAGTTGGTTTTGTTAAACCTTTTTTTTTGTTTATTTTTATGTTTTTTCCTTGTGCACTTATTTTTTTCGTATTTTTACATCTATCATTTGACTATTTAGTTATGTAATTATGAAGATATCTGTTTATTTGTATCTTTATACTGATAAATTATATTTGCGCATTTGAATAAATATACATAGAATTTGCGCCTTAGAAGTCAATAAATTATTATTGAATTATCATTAAAGGAATATTTTGTGATTAATTTACATGTCTTTACGATATCGTAGCAGACCAGTCCAACAAACGATGGAAAAATTGAAAGACGGATGAGAGGAATGGTATCCAAAATGAAACTCCTTACGATGGAAATTCCTTTTCCATTCTTCTAAGAATTTCACTTTCAGGAAGTGCTACGCTGCACATCAAATAGTCGATGCATTTACACCTCTATGGCAAAATTTTGTCCAAAGAAGCACGTTGGAAAGCCAATAGCCAATAGTCCTCATCAATTTGTGTAAGTCATTTACTATTCTATAATTTGTTGAAGAAAGTTTGAATTGGTAAACGATAATTCCACGAACTAAATCCACTTAGTAGCTGGAGTGAACTTGCATATTTCCTTGAAAACGTTCCTTTGAGCCTAAGGTACGTGTACAGGAATTTTTGATTTCTTAACATGTTGATGTCCGCTTTCTTAGGACAAGAAATCGAAAGCAAAAAAGCTTTTTTGCCTAATTATGTAACGAACTTGATTTATAACATGCTAAAATTATAAAATTCTGTTAAAGCATTCAAGTATATTTTTGTGGCTGTTGGGTGTTATGTTACCTTGAGTCCTTTCCACGATAGTGCTAACATCATTTACTCTATCCTCTACATATGAACAACTGGTGATTCCTGGTTATCTGGACAACGACGTAAGTACTACTACTTAAAAAAAAGGGTAAGTTTCATAATTATACTTCTTTTGAAAAGTTATACCTTCAATTTCTTAGAATTCTTTAGCGACACACTGGGAATAGACATGTCTCCTTTGAAACAACAACTAGCCTGTTCCAGGCCTTTAGTCAGTAAAACGGAGCGGGATGATAAACAGTAGCGGAAGTGTGGAAAAAAAGAGAGAAGGTCTGGGTCGGGTCTT